CATTTTCACCTTCACAGGAAAGAACCATACTGATAGGAATTGTTGATGACAGGATTTTGTATTTTTTTCTTACAACACCAATGATTCTCTCCACGTATCCTAAGGTGAGCGATGAGTCTTGTTTCCTCTACATCCTTCGCTTCCAGCTGCTGTTGTCCCTTTGTAAATGCTGGAACTTTTACTTCAGCACACATCCCACACTCTACGCTGGCTGTCCTATACACATAGAAATGTCATATGTTATACATGCTGATGGAAACCTTTACATCATTTCAGCAGTATCTCAAGCTGACAGAAGACCCTAACAAAAATGAACCATGGTTTTACCACAATTAAAATATGTCAGTGCCATTGGTTTTTCTCAAGATGCACAGCAGTTTGGTGGGTTTTTTTTTAAAATAAAAACTGCTTACATAACCTAATTTTAACTAAGGCCTACTCCTGGCTTAAGCTAAGCCCTGTCTGTGAAACAGGACCAAAAAGTTCGTACTTCATTACGTCATAAGACCTGGTTTTTGAGGAAATTTCAAAACAAAATTGCAAACCATGTGACTCACCTGATTGAAAATGCAGAGAACACACTTTCATTGACTTAGAGATGTTGCTATAACTTATGTCTTTTCGTCTTGTTGCCGCAATCCACGCCACACGACGTCAACATGTCTCCTTAAGTGACGTGCAAACCTGTTTTGGTCTGAAACTTTCACTTAATTGTGGCCCAAAAGCAAAGATGGTGCCCAGTCAGGATGGGTGTCAAACATTTCATACGCTGGCTGTCCTATACACATAGAAATGTCATATGTTATACATGCTGATGGAAACCTTTACATCATTTCAGCAGTATCTCATGCTGACAGAAGACCCTAACAAAAATGAACCATGGTTTTACTACAATTAAAATATGTCAGCGCCATTGTTTTTTCTCAAGATGCACAGCAGTTTGTTTTTTTTTTTTTATATATAAAAGCTGCTTACATATCCTAATTTTAACTAAGGCCTACTCCTGGCTTAAGCTAAGCCCTGTCTGTGAAACAGGACCAAAAAGTTCGTACTTCATAACGTCATAAGACCTGGTTTTTGAGGAAACTTCAAAACAAAATTGAAAACCATGGGACTCACCTGATTGAAAATGCAGAGAACACACTTTCATTGACTTAGAGATGTTGCTATAACTTATGTCTTTTCGTCTTGTTGCCGCAATCTTCTCAACACCTCCTCAACATGTTTTCCTTCGCGTTGTTTACAAGTTGGAAAAAGGAAAAAACTTATCCGATTGTTCAGTTTTTTTCCTGAACGACTGTGTGACTTGCTATTGCAGTTTTTAATGCAGCAGGAATTACCAACCATAGCGATATTTTCCAAAATCGCAAAAGAAAGTCAAAACACCGCATCAAACACACTAGCAGAAAATAAGCGCGATCCTTTTAATATGGCGTCTACCAACAAGGTTACCCAGAATTCAACGCGACGTGACGTCACATTCGTATTCTCTATTAAATTAACTAAAAGTAAAACCATTAAAAAGATTTCAGTATATGAAATAAAATAAAATGTAACTTAAAATAAAATTATTTTTTTCAGCTAGTTGTTAAGGCAATATTTTTCATTTTTCTACTAGTTTAGTTTAGTTCATATGGTTTAACTTGATGTAAAAAAAAAACTGAAACTAAAAACAAAATGGGTTATATAAAAACTAAAACTGAAAAAAAATAAATAATAAAAACTATATAGACATATTTAAAGGGGTCATATGATGCGATTTCATTTTTTCCTTTCTCTTTGGAGTGTTACAAGCTCTTGGTGCATAAAGAAGATCTGTAAAGTTGTAAAGACTAAAGTCTCAAATCCAAAGAGATATTCTTTATAAAAGTTAAGAGTTAGCCACACCTACCGGACAGGGCATCACAATATGGTAAGGGGCGTAACATTTCCGTCACACGCTTGAGGTATTCGGTCAATCACAACGCACTGGATAGCTGGCTAATCAGAGCACACCTCGCTTTTCAGACCGATTAGTTTTGTAAAAATCGACGCGTTTCAGAAAGGCGGGGCATAGAGGAGAAACAATAATGTACAGTATGCGGAAAATAATGTGTTTTTTTTTACTTTAAACCGCATAAACACATTTCATTACACCAAATACACAAAATAATGTTCTTTTTAGCAGCATCATATGACCCCTTTAAAGAAGAATAATATAAAATACGTATACTAAATACTATAATAAAAACTATAATAGTATCTAAATGCTACTAAAATAACACCATCCTGATCATAAACTTTAAGCTGTAAAAACAAATGGCAGGTTTTTACAATATTTAACAGTAATATGTTACAAAATAAAATGCTGTATTTAGAAGTTTACAGCAAAATCAATTCAGGCTAGGTATTTAAAATATCCAAAAATCCTACAGCACATGCTGCTACATCACAGTAATTTCTGAAATAAATAAATACATACATGCATACATACATTGAAAAACTGAATAGTATTAGTTATTTTCTGACAGACATTTTCTGTTAATTTCCTAAAAACTGCTCAACCCGTTTCTGCCAATGTGGTGACAGAATGACAGCAAAAAGAGCAATAGGTGTGACCATCAATATAATGAGCATTTAAACATAACCCATTAAAGCTTAACAGCTGGAATTCTTCTTGGTTGAGTAGTTACCTCAGAACAGGCCGCCATGCACAACCTCTGATGCAGGAACAGCTCTAATTTCGTAGTCATTATATAGTCAGACACAAATCAAAGATCCAAGAATGGAACTGACAGATGATACTTTTAAAATTGTGGGACAAAAATATTGTTTATGTAGAATATAGAAAAGGTAGCCTAAGTGAAGCAGGAAGCTCTGTAAAATGAGTCTGCCCTTGATGTGCATGTCTATTGTGATTCTTCTGCACATTAAACAGTCTGTTTATTAACGACTGATCAGTGTGACTTCCATCTGCCCACACAGCACTGGAGCCCCTCACGCATGCTTCATTCATCCTGAAGGGGTCAAGCTGTCAGAAATAAGTTTAAAGGGGTGGTTCACTGTTTTTTTCCTAGGCTTGATTGTGTTTATGGGGTGCAGTCTAACATGTGTTAATGCTTCGTTTAAAAAAAACACATTATTTTTCACATAATTTACCTTTATTCCACACCGCTCTGTCCTTTCTCCTATTAATGCGCTGATCATTTCCTGCTTTTATGAAGCCCCTCCCTCAGAAATAGGCGATGGGCTCTGATTGGTTAGCTAGCCCAGTGTGTTGTCATTGGCTAAACTGCCTCTAGTGGGCGTCTAAATGTCCCGCCCCTCACCTCAGCGGCATGTGCTCCGGTTGTATTGTAAACATCAGCGTCCTTAATATCGCTTATCACTTTGAGCCCGATTGAGAAGCAGAGGATATTATTGAAGAGGATCGTGCAGAACCTGTGCAAGCACGGCTTTTAATGGTAGGCCTATGTTTTTTGTTTGTTGTTGTCTCATACTTTTAGATACGCTGTTATTTGTAAATGCTACTGCTTATGTTAGCTTTTAATGATGTCACGAACCCAGGAAGTAACTTGTTGTAGTCCCTACCAGCCGTTTTTGTAGGCATTAAACTGACAAAATTTTAAAAGATATCTCCGTTTGCATTGAACTTTTAGCTTCGTAACTTTGCAGTTATTGTTTATGCTCAAACAGCAACATTAGACACTAACTAACGTTAAAAAAGTGAAATCGCAATGAATCACCCCTTTAAGGTCGATGCAATTACTGTGACCAGGAAATCAACCATATTGTCATTTTTCTAGACACTGCACAAAGAATTATGTTCAGCTGTTTTTTTTTTTCATCACAGAGGATGAAGGGATGTTTTTCCAGTGTTGCTGTGAATATACTGCCATCTACTGAGGCAGACAGTATGTGGTTCAATGACTAATTCAAGTTTGTTGCAGAACTTTGTGGAGTTATTCACAGACATTACAGAGTAATGAACTAACATATAACCCATAACAGGTCCAGTGGTTCCGGTGGCTGAACGGCATTCCAAGAGTGCTGATGGCAGTGCTGTTTTAGTATTATTTATAAACTATTTATTAATATTTGGAATGTTTTATTTTTTATTTTATTTTTTACAAATTTTGTTATGCGCTTTTGTAATCTTTATTATTTTTATATTTATATTTTATAGCTTTATTTTTATTTTTGTATTTACTCATTATTTATTTATTTCATTTCTAATTTTTTTTATACATTTGTAATTTTTTGAATTCTAAGTTTTTTAAGTTGAACTTTCTCACCTAACATTTATAATTTATTTCTAATACCGAAAACCATTTTTTAATAGTTTTACTTTAGTCAACAGTAACAACACTAGACAAAGGGGGAATTTAACATCAACCAATGCTAATAATGTTAGAGGCTAAAGTTCATAAAAATGTTGTTCTTCCTTGTTCCTCTTATTCAAATGTGTTACGCAAAATTACATTGCACATCACTAATGATTATTTGACGAGGCTACAATGTAAACAATCACAACGTAACGTAAAGTAAGTTATAGCCTAGGTCAGGTAATTACTGACTTTTTGAGTCACCTTACAATCAATGAAAGGGCAAAGTCTCAAATAGTTGTTCCTGTAGTAGTCACTAGATGTCAGTCGTGTCTAAAAAACAAGGATTCAAGGACGAATTGAGCTTGTAAACGCCATGAAATAGATGTGAGGAAATGTTTCTGTAAATAATTTTATTTGTTGGAAACGTTCAAAGTTGAGGAAAATTAGGTAGACTTTTTTTATTATTATGATTCCTGCCATTTGAGCATTTCTCATGAATTATCTGTTAAAAAAATATTATGACTTTAGCAAACTGGATGGCGTTTCTACTCATATGTGTGTATATTATATATAATAATATATAGGCCTACTATATGAGAACGTGTTATTGGTGGTGACCGTTTGCTCTCACCTATAACGAATAGGAAGTACACTCAAGCGAAAGGAGTGGCTTCAGCAGCCGTCTCTCTGTCTACCTGAGTCTCAGAGCTGGACTTTGACTGGGGGACTTTAAGGAAATAGGAAAAAACCAAGAGCCACAACTTCGCAAGGTTAGTGAGCAATTTAACGTAATTGAATACAGCGGTGGGCGAAACATCGCACTAGCTGTTTTTACACAAATAGCCTAGTCACACCAAATTGTTAATCAAATAGTTAGTTACTCATTAAAATCACAAAACGTGCAATGTATCCAAGAAGGATCCAAAAGTGTCGTAATATGTCGATATAATATTACTTATAAGACATAACTTTATATTAAATCTCTTTTAACGTGCGTTTATATATGTAGGCAATATGTGTGTGTTTTGGGAGGGCAAGTCTCCGCTGGTACAGTTATGTGCACGCGCATTCCAGTGTCTCCATAGCTCCGCACGAAACCTGCTATCTAGGATTTAATAGTGCTGTCTGCCTTACCTTAGTGCTCATTTCGTCTTAAGAAGGGTTTAAGGTTGTCAGTTTCTGAACTAAGTATTTCATCCTTTGATAAGTGACAACTGCAAGACAATACAGTTCCTCTGTATTTGGCTTTTTTTGGGTGAGGATGATTATGTTTCAGGAAACCACATGCAATTATATAATTAAAAGCTAAGCATTATATAGGTGCATGGGGAAAATCAACTAGAACATCAACTTTTAAAATAACTTGAACAACAGAACACAAGAGTGTCTATCCATATTTATTTGTTTATTTGCCTCCTGCTCTCAGTCAGGGCATAGCCTATATATGTTTCAAACAACAAAATATAGAACTATATATAGCCTAATTTAATTACTTCTAAATGTCTAATAAAAAAATGTTAGACACATAAAACTACTAAAAATGTATCATCTTCGTTGTTTTAGAATTTAACATTGAAATACTTTTTTTCCAGGTAAATAAAAATCTGTTTTCATATGTAGGGCTCCTCCCTTGTTCTAGTCCTGTTTTCTCTGTGTGCTCTGTAGCTTGGAGCTGGTGTTAGCTTGCAAAAACTAAGAGGTCAAATCCCGCATACTTGTTATCTATAGATTAACTATTTCAGAACAACTAAGTCAAGCCATTCTGGTTGCTACACTGATGATGTTTTTTTTTTTTTACTAACCGAACTTTAAAAGCAATGTCCACTTTAGTCAAGTGTGACACTGAAACTTTAGCCCTGTGTAAACAAATGATTAGTCACTTAAAATGAAGACTTGAAACTGAAACCAAATAAAGCTGACACATTTATTCTTGGCATTCATGACAAATTTTAAAATAGTAACAATAAGGGATTATAATTAATCTCACTGTATTTAACACAAAGGTTTTGTCATATGCATGCATTGCACAAGATGAATGTTCAGTTGCCTGTTTACGAATACAGGTAGCATGGAGTCATGCTTGAGTAAGTTAAAAAGGACGTGTAGCCTTACCTCTAGGAATTCGTTGCCTCAGGCAAACAACACAGTAAGACAGACCCTACATACATTTATAAACCTCCTATAAACTAGCATCTTGCTGCACCGTTAGATTTTATGTCAAACACCCTCTGATAATTTCAGAACAGTATGTGACACCACACTGCACATCAGTCCATATTGTATCAGATCTGCATTCCAGTACAATCACATGGGTGTGAGGACAGAGAGACATAATTATTTGAGCACAGAAACACAACCAGTGTGAGCAAACACAGTGTAAACTTTGGTCTAATGGATGTCTTGAAGTAAGTGAATGGTATGTGTGCTTTTGAATCTGGTAAGGTTTTTTTTATTTTTTTATTTTTTTTAGTTAGTCTTATATTAATGCACAGTATGCGGGTACCATATATTAGTTATCAGATGATTTTAGAGTTTTTAAATTTATTATAACCGTTGATATTGTATATATAATTGTGCATTCTGATTTCCCTTTTTTTGTGTGTATATCATGCTGTAAATTACAATGTTGTGATGCATACATTCATTTTTTCACTTCTAAAATGACTGCTTTTTTATTTTTAATTTATTTAGACAAAATAGTAAAAGTGTAAAAAAGTATTATATACCATTGCCATTAATGCCATTAATGGAAAATGCATTGGCACATGCCACACATGGTTCAGCTAACTATAAAAAAACCCTGTTCTTGTGTTTCCAAACTGGCCTTATTACCAGATGAGATGATTGTGTAATGGTGTGTGGATATCTTTGAGGACATGGCGAGTGATGCAAGCACCCTTTCCTGGAAGGTACCCACCCAGGACTGGGATGGGGGCATCAAAAGCCCAGACCTCGGTCCTGTTGGAGATGGCGGTCCTGTGAAGATCATCAAAGTGTGCTTCAGCAGCAGCAGCAACCTTAGCAAAAACTTCAAACTGGTCAAATGTGACAGCTCATGGCAGATCAAGGTATACATACCCTACTGCTCAAAAGTTTTTGAAATAAGTGTCTTATGTTCTCCTAGGCTGGATTTATTTAATAAAAAATGCAGTAAAAAAAAAAAAAACAGCCATAATGTGAAATATTATTACAATGGAAAATAACACGTTTCTATTTTAAGATATTTTAAAATGCAATTTATTCCTGTGATGGTAAAGCTGAATTTTCAGCATCATTACTCCAGTTTTCAGTGTCACATGATCATTCAGAAATCATTCTTTAAATATTTTAATGAACAAACTCTCTTATATGATCTTGCTTAAATTGATTAGGATAAAATTATTTTAATTCCAGATGTTGATTGTGCTTGGGACAATTTTTATAATAGTTTTATATTTATTATTATTAATAAGCACGCACCTTTGAGTTAAATGCTGTGATAATCCATTGTTCTCGACTGCTTTATGTGATCTTATTCAAGAGTGGGATGCAGCATGGGCTAAGGCTAGACAAACAAATTTAAATTCTGATTGGCTGCATTTTAGGCAGCTTTGCAACAAGTGTGCAGTTAGAAAGGCTAAATCAGATTACTTTCTTGATAAAACCACAGAAAATCTGACAAAGTTATGGAGGAATATTACGTTTCTAACTGGTAACAAAACAATTACAGAGATTCCCCCTTGTATAATGACAGATTCTACCAAAATTGTAGACAAAAAGCAAATGCTTAATAGTTTTAATAGTCATTTTATTGCATCTGGCTTTTTATTTCAAACAAATAATGATATAAATTTAGATTTAGAATTCCTTGAATCTGAACATAATTTATGGACAAGAGAGTTTGCTTTTCATCAAATTACTCTCTCCGATATTTGTTCTGCTTTAAAATAATTAGATGTGAATAAATCGCCAGGTCCTGATTAGGGCTGCACGATAAATCGCATACGATATTTAACGCGCATCTTGTCAGAAAGCCGGTTCTTTAATCAGCGGCAAATCTCCATCACGTGCGTGCATTCACATTGAGCAGCATTAACTACACAGAGCCGTTGTTCACTGACGAGCTGCGCCAAACCACGTTCATATTCGCGCGATTTTTTGCGCAGCTTGTCATATATTAAATTAAATTATTTAAATAACTGAAAAGATACTTTAAAAATGAAACTAAAACTGCCAGCAG